ATATTAAGTTATTCAATACGTTGGTATATTTAATATTATATGACGATAAAATCGTTTAGGAACCGACAGGAGAACTACTGCACCGCGCCATATAACGGTCAGGTGACGCAAGACAAAGAAAGAAAATGCTCTACATAACATTTACCATTAGTACCTACTTTAAGTAAATAACTTTCATCTTGGTGAATACTAACACGTTATATTTGAAATCACCTTCTGAGCGCAGTGAGCGCTTGATATTTTAATGTGTTTAGGTATTTCACAATCCAGGACTGTTTAACTTGGAACGTGCAAGGATTTATTTAAGTCTGCAGTGCGATTTGGTTTAATTTGTTTTATCCAGAGGGTGGTGCGCCGGCGCAGATCTAACATTAGCTCGTCCTACATTCCGTAGGCTCGTGGAACGGTTACAGTTTGACCTGATTTCATCACAAGCTCCGTGCGAGATCATAATTAGACCAAATCCATCGTTAAAGGCTGCATGGCGATACAGGAAAAATAATAACTAGGTACTGAAAACTGTCAAATATAAAATCATTATGCATTGTGGTTGTTATTATGACCTAAATTTAAATGTAATTAATGATTAATTAGTGACCGTTACCCTTTATAATGAAATAAGTTTTGATATTGAGGCGATTGAAGTGCGGTCACGGTCACCGTTTGGTGTATTTCTTACTTGCCAAAGTCATACATGTGCCAATGTAATTACGTTCTTACATCATAAATGTCATGCACCCGTGTGAATAATTGTACCGTGCAGCTAACCCCAGGTAATATGATGAAAAACCTTGGAAAATGAATGCAAAAATAAGTATGGTAAATACTGCAGTGAGTATAATTTATAAATTAAATATTAAGTACCAGATCCCTGACTTCAATCCCTAAATTACTTGTATCGGTACACTTAGAAAGATGCAAAACGTATACCAGTGAATGTGACGAGTTTGATCGCAAAATACATATGTTTATAGTGAGAGAAGTTTAGTTACTAATTAGATAGGTAGTTAGTTTCCTTAGTTTCAACGTACAAAGGACAAGTGTATAAGGATGATTCCGTCTTGTTTCAGATGACTTTTAGCTTGAAAAGTTGTCGTGAACCTTTATTATAGAAGCAAAACTAAATATTGTCTCTGTTTACAATATTACTGTGATTTACATGGTGTTAGATGTCCTGTGTGCACGTGCCTAGTTGCCTATTATAATGCCCTTGAATCGTAGACTCTACACATTGCGCACGTTGCGTATCGCATTGTGTGGCTATCTATTGTCCAGCGAGTGTTAAACAAAGACGAGAAACCTAACTCTTGGACAGTCACAACATACAATTCAACCGGTAGGCTCGGCTATGACGTCAGATCAGGTCACATAGCGTTATTTACTACATACTATTGTATACTTACTACAAGTATAAAAAAATGCAGAATTTATATGTGATGAACTAAAGGCAATTTAAGTTCCTTGCCACTCAACCTTTCAAGATCTAACATAAATAATATAACTATTTTTTTAAATACGATTCTAAAGGTGGCGTACAAATCATGTTGCACTCTACGTGGGTTCCTGGCCGATTGGGTGAAACCGCGTCAGGAAGCTGGCGATGTTTACTATGACTAAAGATTCGTTAGGTTTAAATTTTAAGTACTAAATTGTTCTTTGGAGTTAATTTGCACGTATGGGTGCAACTTAACCTAGTTACCAGCCAGCTGCAAACAAAACCGGAATAGTCGAGCAGCTGCCAATGGGCACGGGACATCAGAGGTGATAGAGAGTTCACAATGTAACAAGAAGCTCATTTTACAAAAAACAAAAACGTTGTATAGAAAATCATCTTACCAATTACTTAGATAATTGAAATAAATTACTTAAATGTTACGTTCAATTAAGAAGCACGTAGTTAACATCAATTCATCTCTGTTTTCTAACCTCGAGTGTTAATTTGATGTGGATGCATCTTGTGTTTTTTGTTAGAAGGTGTAAATAGCAAATTTTAGGCTTATTTTTCGGTAAAATAAGCTATTTAGGTTACGATGTGTATTTAATGTATTATTGTCGAAAGTTTCTTAAAACATAAGGGGTTGGATGAGTGATTAGTGCCACCATGGGATAAAAATGAACTCGCCTCTAGTTGTGGAATGCTTCCCGAAATAATCATTGATATCAGTCTCAGTTCCGAAAAGTGGTTCTTTTATTTTTTACCACAAAATAACGAATTTGAAATAGATAGATAATAAATTTATTTAAACATATTTAGATTAAACATCGTAGCTTTTTCGTTGTTTTTAAGAGTAAAACCGATTCGACAGTGACGGCCACCCACGACACATATTTCCCTTAAGTCGCCGTAAATGATATCCTTCCCTTGCGCCATTATCTACAGGGAAATGACTACTTCCCGAATCAAATACATTTCTAGTAAGTGATCGCAACTGGATCAGCCACAGGAGTTTATAAAAAAGGTACCTATGCATAGACACAAAAATGCGACGAATTGGATCCTCTTAAGTTTTTTGGCAGGTAAAAGGAAAAACAACATGTAAGTTGTAAGTATGATGTTTACAAAGATATTCTTATTTTTGTTATTCTGTTTATCATTGATATCTCTAAATGTTACAAACAAAAATATCTATGATTATGAATCATGCCACATTAGATTACTTAATTTGTTTACAACTATAACTGTATCACACAGTGAGTGAAGAACTTTAAATGTTTATGTAGGTAGGTACTTACTTACTACAAATGAATATATTTTATATTCAAGTGACACCTTATGCAAAAGAAATATCCTTGACTTGTTGAATTAAATTCTAGATTAATTCATTCTGAACTGGTTGTGTAAGTTAAATTACTATGAAAATTAGTTGAGTAGGTATTCATTTATTGTTTTTGCTTTGTTGACTAAACTGGAAGTGCTGTACATTTTAAGGATTATGATATTATTATTTCTACTGTTTGTCTATATAACTTTTGCAGTTGATCTAGTTAAGTTGTTAGTTCATAATTTTTGATCTGATTTATTTTACCTGTTTGATCTTTATGCCTATGAGTATATATTGTAATTTATACAATATAATAAAAAAAATCCATGATCTTAAAGTTGGGCATTACTATTATTTGTGCATATTTTAAAAGCTTCTCCACCTCATAAAATAGTGGGATTTTTTATTTGTATTTCCTAAATATATAACCTACATAGGAAGATTATTTCTGAATTGGTAAATAGTATTTGTTGTTGATGTTTTGAAATGTATCATTGTATTCATATTTGCATTTGCTAGTTACTTACTTAGAACATATATATGTAGCTTCTTTGGCCAATTGCCATTACTCATTAAAATCATCTTACATTTTTGTAAGTGACTGTTCGAAGGCAGTTCTCTTTGACAAAAATCTGTTTTTTAAAATAATATATTCTAAAACACAATAGATAAAGATTTTAGTTTTGGACAGTCATAATAAAAAAACATGACTTGTACATGTATACATCAATTCACAAAGTATGTAAAGATAATAATGTTTACAATTTTTATAGGTTACTTATTATCAGCTGATTATTTTCGTGAAGACACTCTAGACAAAATTAATAATTATTTATCATTTTCAATTGATATAGACAAAGAATTAAAACGGAAATAGTAATAATATGCAAGAATGACGAAATTTGTGTCTGTATTTCCTAAACGTAAATACGACAATGCCACCACCCACGGTTAAAACAGATCAATAATGTTACGCTGAACAAGCGAAACAATATTTTGGACAGTAGAGCGTCTATCATTAGAGAGCAGATCAAAATAATAATGATACGGAGGCGAGTGAGAACAAAAGCGCGTCATGGCATGGTACTTGAGATCATTCATACCTTTCTCTTCCTCCCTTTGTACACCATAGCAAAGGCTCCATGTCCTATAATATCTTGCTTGGTGAATTCATAATCACCAACTTGAACTACTTCCATTTTCACAAGTTTCCCCTTTACCACGGACATGTTTCTTAGAGTTTATATTTATTTACAGTCTCATACAATAAAAGATCAATAATTTATTTACGGATAATGGATTTCGGAACTTGACTTAGCGCTACATTATGATCACAGCTAGCTATTAATCACTTCCAGGCTTCCATTTAAAGTATTAATTTCACTTTATATTACACTAACATAATATTATCGTTTTTGTTAAACCAAAACACAACACACAACGAATGCAAAATGAGTAAAGTGATTTTATTTTGTATTGTTTTGCGAAGTAGCAGACGATGTTGCCTACTACATCAATAAAAAACTACTGTCCTGAAAATATTGTATTGTCATAAGAAAAAAAGAAATAGTTTTTAAATATGAACACTAAAAATATTTACTTTTTTTAGTATGATGATGATCATTTGATATTCTAAATAATTTCAACTTTAATCTTTGAACTTTGTTTTGACTCCTCTTTTTTATAATAAAAGTTAGCTAAGGTCATTTTAGCAGGTTATAATAATTATAGATACTTATTCATTTGATATGGTGGAAAAAAATTATTGTTTAGTCATTTCGCCCCAAGTTTGGTTTCATACATTTTTTATGGTAGCAGAAACTAACGACAATTGTATTATTCACCTTCTACCCTTTATTCTCTGTCTACGCCTTCTACTTATTTATTTTTTCATCTTTAGTGAACAGTGTTGCTACTTAAAAAAATGGTTTAGTATGGTAGTTTTCAACAACTACCAAAACAAAATATTAACAAGATGTCTCTTAATAAAATTCTGCTACTACCTTTTAATATTCTGAAATTCTATTTATGGGACTTAAATTACTGCTATAATTTTGTATAACTATTCAAATCAAAGCATACTTAACTGACTTAGGATAAAAATAATAATAAATAAAAACAAACCAAGTAATACAAATATCATCTTTCCACATCTTTATTCAAATTATGAAGGTCATAAAATAAATAAGAAAAATTGATAATGTTTCAATTAATAATATTTCACATAGGATCTTTCAAGTGCTATTTCTGTTTACTAGTTTTTTATGGTTCCGATTTGGTTACTTAGTTGCGCACATTGCAAATATATGAAGGGAATCAGTCCTGCATTACATCAGCATTTATTAACTAAAGCATTATCAAATAAAATTAATTTGTTAGAGCTGTGACTATCTTTTCTGATCTCCCAAGTCTTCAATACTATCTTCATCAATCTGAAAATGAAAGTATGTATTAAGAAACAATTTTAACAATTTAAATTTAAATTTGATAGAGATTTAAAACATAAATAATACTGAAAAAAGTTAAAGGGCTAATAATGATTAAGAGCATTTACCTCAGGCCATTTCTCAGGAATTATATCAAAAAGATCATCTTTCACATCTCCCTGAATAACAATTTCATCATCGCCAGTAACTGAAGAGCCACAAGCAAATTTTGTGCCAAAGAATTTTGCTGCTACTTTTAAGTCAATATCTGAAAAGAAAGTGTTATTAATTTTAAAACTTCACCAGAAAATATAAGTTTAGAATTTTGATACAATACATGTCAAAAGGTTATGAAAATGATTATTTATTTGTTTGAGTGTATAGGTATACAAATCATTGTTGTTGTATGTTACTATACAGTATGTGGTAGGTAGTGTGATAGGTCTTACCTATGAAATTATTGATTTTGGTATCAAATTGCTATTTAAAACTAAGGATATCAATATCCTAAGATAACCACTGTCTTGTAAATATAGACAATATTGATTTACCCAATCAATATTGTCTTTATTTACATTTTTATTTAAGACATACCGAAAGTGCTCAGTCCAGATACGACAGTAACAGATTTCTTCTTGCCACGAGGAGCTCTAGACACCTGTACTAGCTTAGGAACATCTTCCTTTTTCTTTGATTTCAGCATGCCTTTACCACCTCTCTTCTGACGCTTCTTTTCTTCTTCCCCACCAGCATTTTCTTCCTCATCTGAAAAAATAAATTGGCTTTACTAGCTCAACTTGATGAACCAAAACATGATCACTGCAGTGTCTTTTTCAGATTCTACACAGAACAGCTTCGTCATTTTATAGAAATAGTTTTCTTGAGTACGGATCATTAATATATTTTTAAGAATTCCACGATTTATGCATAACCTAGCGTTATAAGATAGAGTCTTACCTATTTTTACTTTTTCAAATTCTGTAGGCAGATGCTTTTCGAGCCACTGCTTGCATTTATCGTATTCGGGATAGTATTCACAATATTCTATTGGCATAGAACAATTACCACAGTACTGAACCTTTATGGGATAGGTTACACCTTCTCGAGGACCCATGGAAAGGTCTCTGTCACCCATTTTGAATTGCTATTCGCTAGTTAGAAAATATTTTCGCATACTCTATTATAATGATCTTAACTTGAATCCTATTAAAATAATTAGGTATATTTCTAATACTCAAAATCCCAACGATGAATCCAATCGGTTGGTAATTTCTTCAATAATTTTTGTCAAATTTTGACAACTAGGAAAAAATGACATGAGAATGAGACCATAGAAAAACCACAAACAAAACCCATAGACGTGCATTTGATTCATTGTCAATTACATAGACAAAGTGCTAGTACGCTACACTAGAAGCATGAAATAATTAATACGTTTTAGAATGCTGTCTAGTTTAGTATCATAAAATACATAAAATCAATAGTGGGCCAACCTTACAACTACGACAACTACGGCGCTTGGGCGCTTTTATCTTTTTACAAAAAAAGGAAGATTCAAATATTCGACATTACTTACATTTTACTTTACTTATATTTTTATTTATTTCAAATTATTTATTCTATCTATATCTATATTATTATGTGGATTAACTAATCTTGTTGATCGTTCATGACAAGTTTTTCATAGAAGCCCTTAATTTTTTTATGACATCATTTTTCAAGTCACTACGAGAAAAATATTCTAATGGAGTGATACCACAGCCTCACAGAATACCAGCGTGAAACAGCATTAACGTTATGTTTCGCCGTTTGATTGAGGTTACAGGAGGCCTAATTCACCTCTCCCAAATCTCAATTCCAAAATGACCTATTACATCATCTGTAAGTGCCTACGACTGCTGAGCTTCTTCACATACGGAGTAGGTTTGAGCACGCTTGCCAAAGGCGGATTGGCGACTTCAAACCTACCTATAACACTAGAAATTATAAGTCCAGGATTTTCACCATATGTCAGTGATGTCTAATTTATTATAGAAAGTACACTTTACTCAGAAAAAGTCACATTGGTACGTGCCACCTTCAAAGCACAAAAGATCAGCAACTGCACTTGTGGTAATTCCTTTGGCATTACGAATGCCCATAGGCGGCGCCGAATACTTACCATCCCCTACGTTATAGGTAACTAATGCGCCTGATTGTTTGATAACCTAGGTGTCGCATAAAAAACCGAAACCAACCAGAAGACTTTTTGTTAAATTGGTGACCCTGTATTGCTTTTCTGTCTATGGTTCATTAGTGGTTCTCGGCTTCCTATGGTCACACCGTCATTTTTATGCTTCTAAGACTGTTATCTAGGGAGTGGTCTATGGGGCCCTGAAGTTTCAGGAGATATCTGTAAATGGGAAGCAGGGTCTTCTTTTCTAAGCAGTCATAATCGCAAAGAAGGAGGCGGAGCATATAAAGAAGTTATCTCCCCTATATGTCTATATCCTCCGCCGCACTACACTACGGGGAACAAGCGACGACCAGCTCTACGCGTTGGTGCCAACGTCGGCCCCAACCCCATTCGGCCAACGTGTGTACCTATCTAGAAAATAGCATTGGTTTCAACATTGGCGACCCGTCTACATATCGGCTCCAAGTTCAGTCCGGTTGCAACACGCTTTGAGTGCGTAGGTCATGCATAGTTACGTCGAGATGTCGTCGGCAACAAATTCGCCACCCATTCGGAAGTTCTAGAATTTATTCCATATTTAAAGGATTCCATATTTTTGGATGTGCATGATGAAGTATATCAGGCTTCCATCTCGAAAGGATCATAAAAATTTATAAATCACTTCGATTTCAGCATCGATCGTCTTCACATTTTCTTTGATGGAAATGAACTAGTGTACCTAATAGCCAACGTGTGTACGCTTCATAAAATGTTTGTACAAGCGTTGGGGTAACGTCGGGGCCAACGTGTGGAGCCGGCATAAGTGGGGACGGCAAGCAAGAGTAGCTCGCCTCCCGACCAGAATCACTCACAAGCGTGTAGTGCGATTCGCACCCGCCTCAAAGACCCGAGCGTACGGCGCGTAGCGTTCCGCGCGCGCCTCAAAGAGCCATTCGACCACCACAGACGGGTCCCTAAAGGGCTGATGTTCAGCCGGGGTTGCGGGGTAAGCGCAATGAGGTACCGCGACCTCGGCACAGAGCAGGAGAAGGAACAGGGGGGTTTTTAGTCAGTAAGAGTCTGACACTCCCTCCTGCCCGGCCCTGGGCGGGAGTAGTCATTTGATGATTTTCCACTCACAAAAAAAAAAGTTAAGGAATCCTTAAAAAAAGTAGGGGTATCACACAAATTTCATAGGAATCGAACCAAGCAGCCAATTGTTTTTTTTTTAAATACCTCAAACTCTTTTTTATTTTTCCTTATGTTGCGTTTGCAAACATACTTATTTCTCACACATATCAAACCCAGACCCGGAACAACAAAGAGCCGTTCCGTGCGGGAATCGAAGCCGCGACTGCCACTGCGCTAACCGTGCAGTCATCCAACCTGCGGTGTCCAGAGACTCTAGGCGAGAGATGATGACGTATGTATGTAGGTAAGTTTACATTAGATATCTACAAGGTAGGTACAGAAGTAAAAAAAGTCATATTTTTCTGGTAAAGTATCAATTTACTATTTTATTTTTCAATAATATTATCGCAAAAAATACTTTGGTATGCTCAGATCGTGTCAGTCAGCTAGTGTTTGTGTTATTCAAATTATTTTAAGTAAGTACCTTCCCTAGGTATAAGCTGTCATAGATGCCTTGCAAGGAGGTATAGTGTCGTGTATTATTTTTTAAGAGGAAGATTTGTTTATGTGGCGTAAAAGTAATTTCGTACTTATTACAATTTGTTGCTTAAAAAAGCAAAACTTGTGTGTAGTGCTGAGTAACGCTATCTGTGAATGGCAGTTTACCTTCTTGTTTAACAAACAAACAAGTAGGCATTTAAGTGTCGATATTTTCAGTAAAAATATTTATTGTTTTGTGAAAACGAGCTTCTTCGAAATACTTCGTGTAGACAATAAAATACTTAGGTCACAATAAACAGCGTACAAATAATGTAAACGGTAGGTATAACAAGTTTATAGAAAACTTAAAAAGGTGTTAATTATGAGATAGTTACGAGATATATGTAGTTACTTATTCTATCTTTATTCTTATTGCAAAGATAAAATATAGGTACCTAACTAACTACTTTTGACCAAAGGATACATAGAGGTTATAATTTTTTTCTTAATTATCCCTAATTATTAACAGGTTGATAGACAGGGTATTTGTCCGATCGATCGTGTGGAAAAAGGTAGAATTAATGGCACGGAAAATAGCTCGGTCGTGCGCGGAAGTTGCGTTGTGTCACCGTCGCTGTGGTGTTTGGCGCGCGTTCCAATTTAGTGCACATCAATATTAGACATGAACGACGACGATGAACGATATGGTCGCCCCACGACCATGCGTCCCCGACTTGCGCTTCTTTTGGAACAAGGAACTCCATAAAAGATTATCTTTGCATAAATTATGTATTTACATCGCAGACGAAATTGGTAACAGAGTCATACATTCCTAGTGGACTATCTCTATGAGGACTGTATTTTTCTGTTGTTATATTAAATGTTTTCAGTGTTATATTAACTATTATTATTATAATAAAAAATCTAAATTCATTTGAATTTTCTAAAGAGGTTTTCATAATTTATTACATCTATGTGAGTAGTTAGTTTTATTGCTACTCTAATATTAATATTGCAGTCTATCTTCTATACATCTATAATACTGTCGTGTTTTTTATCGGAAGCTTTGAGTTTTTCTTGCATCTGCGTTAACATATCTTGCATACGTCGGATCTGAAAACAGAAATCATAATTAGTTCCTTATATGGATGTGCCTCTTTTTGAAGAGCTGCTGTATTAAAAAGTACATTAAATAGTAGGTTAAATAATTCACTTCCTATTAACATCAAGAAAAATACTTATAAATAAAATTATACCTCTTCGTCCTTTTGCAGCAACAGGCGATCTGTATCTGTAATAACTACTTCGTTGTTGTTTCCCATCGAATCTCTCTTCAGTTTTCTGAAAAACAAATATAGGTACGTGGTTAAGTATGAGGGAGCCACCTGAGCCATACTTTGGTACGAATGGGCCAGCTCGATACGAATGATGCTACGGCTTCACAGAACACCGTCTCATAACAGTATTCAACAACAAGTAAGCTGTGTTTCGCCGTGCCATTTAAGTTACCGAAGGCTAAATCCTCCATTCCTGTCTTTAATCCCCTCAATCCCTATCTTTAAATCCCTAACAACTCACAAAAGACCCACAACGAACTCATAACTCCTTTGGTGTTACGAGTATGATAGTCCATAGGTGATATCCGATGAAAAAAGCACACATACTTCAAGAAGTCAAAATTAATCTTAATTGGGAACAAGTATCTAGCTAGTGTAATTCCTTAGCCCATTCTGCTAACTTACGAAATTGTCCTATTAATAAACAAGACCAAAATAAATGCTCTAAAATTTTAGTCACATTGTTGCTGTGATAAAAATAGTAATGCATAATATAGTGCCATGTAGCCAACCTCTGATATATGTATAACTAAGCTAGCCAACCCAGTTTCATTCTAGTTATGAATTAGGCTATTCTCTTCTAGATTAATACCTTTATAGTTCAAAAGGCGAGTCATGGTCTATTGAGGTGAACCCTCTTTTATTTAGTACGGGCAATTTAGATTAGTTAGTGAGGTCATCGTAACTAGTATCATACATATTGTAGGCGATTATAATGCCGTAGACGGTTGGTGGATACTCTTTCCTATATCATGTAATAAAACCGAGACGTGGGTTTGATAAGACCAAATGGAAAACTAGCGCTTCAATGAGGGCAATATTGGTCATTCTCTTATCTTAGGAATGTATGTTATTAAGAAGATATTATAAATTCTTTAATTATACAAAATGTTTATAGACCTTTTTAGGTTTCTCAAAGGTATATCTTTATTTGTAACATTTTCTGGCGAAACTCTCAGATAATAATAATAAAGAATTAAATGTGTAAAATACTATGAGTCACTTACCCTCTCTCCCGCATAGCATGTTGCGATATCTGCGAGATGCACTGCGCTCGGAAGTTCTCGTAATGCACGTCCTGGGTCACATCTTTGAGGTCTTGCATATGCGTTGAGATCAGCATCGTCCGCAGCTTCGTGAAGTCAGAATGCCGTGGGTTTTCAACTGTAAGGAAAATGAAGTGCAACTACTAAGTTAATTTTATCTTAACCAATTAAAATAACCAAAATATACCTAACATTATTTACTAACTACTTTTATAGCAGGCATGTCGGTAGGTACTATTAGTAAAGGAGACGCCATTGTTAAAACTTTAAAAGATTTCAGCCCCGTGTTTTTGAATTTGGAAATCGAAAACCAATATTTTACTTAGTCAACAATGTTTGTACGAAGTAGTTAATGGTTCAATAAGCTATCTATTTTTAGTGCGGGTAGATGTAATAACCCTTGAGACTGGGACTGAGACTACATATTACGTATAATTAAAGTTTTGAGGGCGGTCTAAAATGTTCTTGAGTGGGCACAAATTCAGGCACAAAGTATCAAATGAAACTTACCGTCAACGATTCCCCACGGGTATTGTCGTCCGCGTACTCGTTTACCCCCTACTTCTAGTACAACGTCGGAAGCTACCACAGCGAATGGGGCCGCTGCCTTCAACTCTCTATCTTGTTGCTTAAACTCTTCATCTTCGTCACTGTCGCATTCAGGGAATTGATAAACCTGACGAAATAGAAATACCTAGTTTTATGGACGTCCTAATCTAAAACCTTAAAACGAGCAATATAATAAGTACATTGAAAAACACAGAAAAAAGGCTCCAATCATTTGAATAACATTTAATATAAGTACTTATATTAATTTTTAGAAAAAAAAGCCAAACAAATCTTATCATCCACGTACTTATCAATAGATTCATGAACTTGTAAGAAATTCATTTTCACTTACTTGTATTTGATTTTCTTCCAAATCGTTTAGTATTCGCGCCTTCAGCCGTTTTACCTCGGCAGCAGTTAGGGAGTCCGCTTTCCCTATAACAACTACGATATTCACTTTGCGGTGAAGCCGTCTCATCATTTCCAAATCCACATGACGTAAACTGAAAGATAATAAGTATTGAGTCAATATCGAGATACGTATTCATGCTAAAACATCAACTTTAATTAAAGTCTAAACAAAACTCCTCTTCAAACATCATTCATCGAAGAATGAAATATAAAGTAATTTAGAAACAATAAATTTCGTTATAGCATGAAAGTAGTATAATAAATGCTGTACAGATGCATTTCTTGAGAAGTATGTGCGATATGAGTGTATGAACCATGTCGTGAACACGTTGCGAAATAAAGCAAGTGCGTCAAGTAAGATGCACACGTAAATGTGTTACTCCAAGACAAAATATTCAGTCTTAATGTTTGTAACTGAATATCATAGAACAACACGCTCTAGAGATATGTACTAATGGCCCTACTCAGAATGCTGGCCATAAGGGTGTTAATAGCCGTACTTCATTGAGTTTTCATTGATCTGTTTATTGCTAGCTATCAAATAAAGCGACGTTAGTGCCTTTTATGACGTGTTAAATAAATCAAACCATTGATTGGTAGACAATTGGCATTTACAAACGTTCTTATTTAAACAGATTTTACGATATGTTGACAATTGAAACAAGATTTATTGTTTGAAGCGAGTTTGAAATGTAATGTTGCTTCAGTCATGGCACGAATGCTCCCGCATCAACTCTTCCTATCACTTTGGCCCTGACCATAATTGACCTAATAAAATAATACACTCCTCCGGACACGTACGGTCGTACACTATTATGAGAGATAGTTCTATTTATGAAGTCGGCTCTATTTAAGAGCGAACTAGGTCGATGGTCGATGTATTTCCTACATGTCAGAAAGTCAGATACGAGGGCTAAATTAACGCAAAGCATAGCAAATGGTTCAATTTTAAATGTTCTGCCCCATTAAACCTTATGTTTCTACTCTATCATTTTCTATGTACTCTACTCGTTTACACAGCACTTGTTTGACAACACAATGGCTTGTAAAACGAAAGCTCAAAAGAACAAAAGAGAAAGTTACCTAAGAGCGCAATAAGATAGTCGGTAGGCTCGTGCATTGGAATACAAAATGTTACCTATGGGCCCAGGGCGGAACGAAGTAGAGACAGCAATGCACTCGATTGTCTTGCATGTGACGTCGATTTAATCCACTTTCATCGGTAAAATATTGTCTGAACTGTTCGTCGATGTACGCAGAACAAACCCTCCAAGAGTCTTCACAGTTAATAGCATCTCCAAAGCCGGGTGTGTCCACTATTGTCAACCTCAACTTTACACCTCGTTCTTCGATTTCCATAGTTTTCTTTTCCACCATTGTTGTTTTTTCTATTTTATCTGCAATTCATAAATAGTAATGGTACGTGGATATCGTTTCTGATATGGACTAGGTACTTCTTTTCCCAAAATTCTTACCTTGTGCGTCTGGTATCTTTCTATTCTTGTAAAGGTCTCCTAAAAATAAGCTGTTGATTAGTGTCGACTTGCCCAGTCCCGACTCCCCCACAACCATTAGTGTGAAATCGAACCCTCGCTTCACCGATTTTCGGTGCACTTGCTCAGGCAGTGTCGCGAATCCGATGTAGTCGCGCTCACCGCGATCACGTTCTGTCAACAAATAACTCAAATGTTTATTGTATAGGTACAGCTTTGTAAACAACAACTCAATTGTATTGATACTAAATATCGTCATATTATAAAAATATTTGTGAGCTCTACGTACAGTAGAATACATATTTTTGCATAGCATTTCTTTATATGGGTACTTTATAATTTTCCGGAATGGCGGTTTAGGTCTTGTAGCTAACGCTACACTTGAGCAATTTATGTTTTACATTAAACGTATTGTTATTCTGTATATCTATCTAAAGCACTTCGTGCGTAAGTTGCGCCTGTAAGTTGTTCTACTACCGCTATTCTCATATTGGGCTTATTGGCTTGCATATACATACGTGCCAGTCATGTTTATCTGATTTCTGTTGCTATTGACAGTACAATGTAATATGACCATTTTCCAGTAGGTATTGGTTAGGGCATACATTTGTAGAACTCCAACTCCAGACTCAATAAATCAGTAGCCCAAAACGAGGAGCTGATGAATAATCTTGGCCACCTGATTATGATTATGCAAGAATTCGCTATATGTAGAAAGGCTAATAAGCCAAATTATAACTACCTACCAGAACTAATGCTGACATAATATCAGCTGCCCCACCCTTCTGGTAATTATTATTCGTAAAGATAACTTCTTCGGTTATTACAAAGAAATTACTAAAACGTAGCCATACTACAGGTGCCAAGAAATCTATACTAGGCCTATTAAAGCCCGGACAAGTGTGAAGCTAGTGGAGTCAATTAATTGTCCACTACGACAACTTCTCACAACATACTATAACTCGTACGTACGTACACCTCGCGTTTCTAAAAGGTCTCGTCACCTTACCCTTACAACACTTAGGATGTACGAGTATAACCTTATGTCCAACGGACGAGGGTGTATCGTTATTGTGTTTTTTATGATCAGTGGTAAAATTTACCTAATGATGTTTATGTTTGTATTATTTTTAGTTTCTAGGAATTTTAACCGTTTCAGGACTTTTTGTGGGATATAACGTCAAGCTAACACCCATATAAACGTATGAAAAGTAATTTGAGCCATTGCCGGACTTTTAAAGATTTTTGGATTGAGAGAATCGAATTGTAATTGTAACTCAATAATATGTTAATAACACCCGCACACGTATTTAAGTCAGCTTATTAAATTGCTGAATGCTACAAACAGTGATATTAAAAAAAGCAACAACTACTTATTTGCTATCTTATAATGTAAAATGTAAAGTAGTTTCACAGGCACACACATTTACCCTATTTACAAATTGTTTTCTTTTGCACAAACATGATTTTCATTGTTTCCTTTCGTCAATTAGTTATGCAGTAATTGATACGATACCGACGATTACGACATTTCGTAAAAAGTAAACATATATCGTATCTCGGGAAAACACATATTACACGAACAATTGGTATAAATAGTTAGACTTGACCATTATTTATCGTTCAGTTGTTGTGTATTGTAGAGTTATAGTGATTGTATGCTTTATTGTGCAGGGCCTGCGCGGTAGGATAATCTTGATATGCAATTTTAAATAATAGCAGCACATCCCGTCTTTTTACTCTCTGAAGGACTAGGCAGAAATGCACATAATACATTCAACATATAGGTATCGTTCACCTCTTGTATTATATACACGTCTCAAGTAACTAGTATACAAGAAAATTGCGTGTGTAGCCCGATGTTTCCCGTTCCTAGTGTCGAACGCATGATTTCTGCGATCATGCGTTCATATCAACTGCAATTTAGTTGTGAACCAGTATGCTATTGTTCCTAATTCCTAATTATAATAGGCTAATGGGCTATATACGCACGAGGCACTCGTACCAGATTTTATTGGAAATCGTGATATGAGGTACATCTCATAGTCTGGATGAGAAAAACAACCTAGTTCCTGCTCCAAGCACTCCATGCCGGTGCAGCAGTATATTTTTGCGCTTGGCAGAGACAAAGTAAAATTAAAATCAAAGCGTAGTCGAAGTTTATCCAAAATCGGAAACGATGTTGACGAGCTTGTCATGCAGACATTACGGAAGATTACGATTAACATTAATTAATGGTAAACAGTGAGCCGTTTAATATTCTCTTCGTGTGCTCAACGATTAGGTTAAGCCTGTAAAGCTAATAGGAAGGAGGGCATTGCAAGTAGTTGCGACGGACGGCAGCGGAGTGGAACATGACTGGTTCCCTTGGAGCTTTGGTGCGGCTCACCGTCCAGGGACAATGCGCGTGCGCACCTGATATTGAAGACAATTGAGGACGACTAGCGGAAGCGACAAACGTGCCACTTTGCTACTTCGCTCACAGAAATTCATGTTCTTATCTATAGAGACTAACACTAAAGGCACTGCATGACATAGGAACGTATGGTTTGAGTCTTTATAACGACCTAATTATTAATTCAGGTGAATACAATAAAAACGCTTGACATCTCTTGCGATCTGGTTTCCTCGCACAATCTCATACTTAAATAGATAGTTAGGTGGTAGTTACGTAGTCTTCTTACTATGATTGGATTTCTTGCTTACATAGATAATTGTGCTGTGGGAACATAAAAAGAATAAAAACCAGTACAGTCATTGTAATTGGTGTAACTGCTGGGTAAAATAATGGTAAGTAAGATACACCAATACATCTTTCATGATATTTCACATTAGGAGTTCTGCTGACATAGAAAAATCATAGTAATTATATTCTAAGAGATTTTAATTAGGCACAGGTCTGTCTTTAATAATTGACTACTATTAAAATTTTTGTAACTTAGGAGATCATTAGTCCTATTTTTTTTTTGTTTTACAAGATGTTAGTATCTACCTGGTATCTTTGTATTTAATTAATAAATAAGTGTCAAACTTACGAATTTTTATAACCGTTGTGAAAGGCGAATGTTTCTTGGAATCATCGTGATTATTGCCTATTCCTGTGTCTGCATTTTCGTTGTCCTTATCTCCAATGTTGATATCCAATATAGCGAACGAGTGAGTTTTTTCCATAGTTTTAAGAGGTATAATTTGATTGTAGTAACTTTCAAAGGTATTGATTGTGAACTGAGAGAAAAACGCGGGAATTTTCGTTATGCACGAATGCGTTCAATTGTATGTAATGTTATGCTGGTGGTGTCAATCGGTTCACGGCGTAAAGCGAGGCTACGGAGTGTTTGAGTACCGCACTGGACGTTGGTGGCGCAAGAAGGCGCGGCGCGCGACTCTCGCGCACTATGCCACAGCAGCGTGGCGCACGTTCACACTGCGCGCGCCGCTCAACAAACTGACTTCACTCAGATTCAGTTAAACAGGTTAGATGTAACGCAGTTGCGTCACTCATTAACAAACAAAATTAACATAGTAAATTGGGCGACCTATTAAAATTTGTTAAAGTTTAATCTCTCTTCATTTTGACCCTGTTTATTTATAGGGATCTGTTAACCAAAGGCTTAAATCTGCGTTACTTAGTTTTCGCTGTCCGTAGGATCCTACGTGTGTCTGTTTGTCACCAAGCTGTATCTCGGTACCGTAATAACTGAACAGTTGAAATTTGGACATAATCTGGTGTTTTTATAAGTATTAAAACCAAATAAAATAAATATTTAATTATTTAATTTTGTTCCCATATTATAAAGTAACGAAATGTACTTATGCTGGCTAACTGTTTATCTTACTGAAAAGCAAGAAAATATTTATAAAACATTATGTAATGGATTTCACGAAAAAGGAAATAGTTTTCATTCATTTTCATTCGATAGTTTAGTAACTACTTAAACGCTCATGCTATTAGCAACATTAAATATCCCTTAAGTGTATGTGTAACCACGGTAAGGTATTAAAAATAAATTAAATATGAAGCCAAATAATTTTTTTTTTTATTTCAAGGTTATTTTAACATAACTTCTTTTGAAAGAAATACTGTTTTTGCTAATGACTGAATCCGAATTAATAACCATTATAAGAAGACGATGAATGACACTGGATTGGAGAGACGCTGGCTAGACGCCGCGATTTAGCTGTTTCGCTCGTCCGGTGACGCAACAATACATCTTGTATTGTTTTGACTGACTAACTGGTTGCATAGCTTAGTTTAAGATATATGTAGATATTGAATGGATGCTATAAACAGATGAATCTAGGGTACTAAGATGATACTGAGACAACGAACACCTAACATATATAGATAACAATGTTGGTTTAGAACGAATAAAATTACTTATAAATTATATAAATGTTACAGACTTTTATTATGCTTTTGTTTAAATGAATAAATTAGATGATCTACATAATATTTATCGAATCGTAATTAAAATATTATTTAGTCGTACGTTATTTAAACTAAATTGGCACAGAGGTTACAGAGGCCAGAAAATATCGATAAATCTTAGAAAATTAAAGTAGGTACTCAGGTAGGTACTTCGATTTTATAAAATTTAAGTACTTTTACCACTTAGTTTAATAAGTATGATTACACAAGCAAAAAGAAAATAACTTGTAAATATACAAAGAAAAACTCACCCATTGTCATCTTGTAATATTACTCAGGACAACATGCGACTGTTGATGTATATCTGCTTTCTTCTCAATGGAATGAATTATTTTGTATTGTTACGTTTAGTACAATACTATTCATTTGTTTTGACTTCGTATCTCTACTAGTAACAAAGACCTAAGACTAATAATTTACGCTTAACTATAACTAAAACGATCGATCGAAATTTGTTTTAAATTTTTATCACTCCGGAGCAATCTCCACCACAATGTTATCCACAGTATTCACTTCTTCGGCTTCTTGAGCTTCTTCTTCCTTATTTTTGTTGATATTTTCTTCTTTTTGTTGAATTTTGTTAAGATATTTACTATAATATACTATTTGATCAAACAATGCCAAAATAATGTAACATAAAACCAACTGAAATATATCCCCGACAGTTAACATAATATCACTATACTTATGCCTAAAAATTGTATATGTAATCAAAAACTGTAGAAAAATGTAAGATAAAATAAAATCACATAGTTTGTGCGCCGTCCTGTGCGTTTAGTGTTACGTAATGTGAGGGTCCCGGGCCGAGCTGGCGCCCTCGGAGGACGCCCCTCTCTTCGCCCCTTTATTTTGACCTGCGCGAAACTATGCGCAGTATCAATGCGCGGGAAAACCTAAAACCCTTGTTGGTTGTTCACTGTGAACTCCATACCCGTCTGTTGCGCGCGCACTGGCGGCAACTTGTAGGACGCGATCAATACTCCGTTAGCACCACCGCGCTTGCGTTGCTACCCCTCACGCATAAAGCTATCTGTATCTATCTAAGCTCTTTACTAACCCGAATGCATAAGTATTGGCCGTATATGTACTCCGTTCCTATTTATATTCAAGGTCAATGTTTTTAATAACTGTCTTAGGTAGGGAAGGTATCTTCGTTCAAGAACGGATTGAAAGATATTATAAAAAAATAGATATTTTAGATAAATTACTGAAATGAAATCTGACGTAATTTGTTGTTGATTATTAATAAAATTTTTATAATTTGGTTATAAAAATGTGGACTTTCGCAAAAGAACCTTAAAGGTTCTAAGGACTATGAGTAGATAATTTAAATATAATATGGATTGTAATCAAACAAATACGAGTATGTTTAAGTTCTTAGTGAATATGAGTATCTTAATCGTCAGAGAAATTTAAGTCAAACTCTCAAAAATACCATCCTATTTGCAATAATGTGTACTCTGTCCGTTCTCTTTCTAATTATGTGATGAAAGCATGCAACATCGCACACTACCCTAAACAATTGAGGTCAGGTGGTTTTGGTATGGGCTTTCCTACAACGGGGATTTAAGGTAATTAATTTAATCTAAAAAAACCTACCATATTCGGGCAGAATACGGTTATTTCCAACTAGTCAAATTCAATACTTTTATCCAAATGTCAAAAACGATACTTTTCTATGTTTGTATGAAATACTGAGTTATGACGTCATAGTATTTTTGCGTCAAAATAAAAGAATAGTTATTTTTCAATATTTTATGTTATTGAAACATTGAATTAATTTATTTTTGACTTTAGGAAACTACCCAATAGAAAACATGATCGGTCATGGGCAGTCGGGTACACACTAAAATCACGTTTGACCGTGGCTCGAGGCTCTCATCTCATGAGTCGCAGTTTGAACACAATAATGGCAGACTTTTGTTGTGCACACAAGATTGCAAGATATTAATAATCCGTCCATTAAGTCATCCACCTCGACTTTGCACGGTGCACCCGTGCTGATACAAAATATCTCCACTATTTAATGGATGTTCTTATAAATATAAACCTTCTATTTATATAAAACACCGTACCTAAATTTGTTGCATAGTTTGTAAGATTTAAGAAAACATAGGGATATAGGGACAGAGAAAGCGACTTTGTAGTGACACTTACATAACATCATTTATACACTAGCGACCCGTCCCGGCTTCGCATGGGTGCAATGCTAATACTTAATTTCTCCACTATTTTATGGATGTTATTATTCTTTTAGGTACGTTTGTGCATATAGCGTAGACCGCCTGTAAAAGGAGAGGGTAAAATAAACGCCCGATACTCACAGTATTATTATCTTGAAGCATGGCGACGCAAACGTGCACGTATATATGTATACTGATTTCTATCATTTTTTTTTATTAATTAGATAAAAATGTAAACTTTTTAATTAGGGATAAGTGAAACGTAAGAGTAAAATAATCATAATGCTAGGCTATAATTTTTTTTTATTTAATAGGTCGGCAAACGAGCCGACGGAGTACCTGATGGTAAGCAATCAGCGCCGCCCATGCACACTCGCAACGGAGGAGTTTCGAGTGTCCATGGGCGTTGCCGACGTTTTAGGGATTAGGGATTTGGAGATTTAGGTATTTAGGAGGGATTGCGGGAGGGGAAGGATTGGGTCTCCGGTAACCTCACTCACACGGCGAAACACAACGCTGTCAGGAGTTACACGTGTTATTGTGAGTCAACCATAAAAAATAGAGATATACTTACCATAAAAAAAGAGCGTGATGTTTTGTAGATAATTTTATGTAGAAAGTTCCCGTGATACATAATTTCTATATAACTTTAATCATTAAGGTTACATTCGCGACTAAAGCTAAAAAAAGGGAGTAACTTCTCCCGTTTGCCCAACATTTCCCTTCACTGCTCTGCTCCTACTAATTGTAGCGTGTTGAATCCTATAGTAGTTTTTGGTTTTATAAGAAACATACAGACACCAAAATTTTACAAATTACATTTTTGGCATCTCTCTACTGATTTATATGTATAGATTTTTGTTTAAAAATTAATTGTAATTATTTGGCGTGTAGCATGCTGCCCAAATTGAACATAACGTATTGGGCAAGAATATTTGAATTGACTACGAAGCTTTATTTTTATCACTGCTTCATAGACCTAATAATAAGCTGAACTAGGCATGAAACTTTTAGATTAACACTTCTTGTATGCAACTGATACTTTAACTCTTTCATTGCGTCAACTGATCATTTTTTCAACTCATGCACGTGTACTCCTCCCACCAATGTTTATTCCGCTAAGTAGGTATTGGTGGATCAAGTAAATATTCAAACTGAATGTCCAATCACTACCAAACTGCCCTCTGTGAAGGTAATATAACGCCCTAATTTTTCGAATATGTAATTTAATTAGATATTTAATAGGTTTTCCCATTCGTTTTATGAAAGACCTACTCTTTTATGTGAAGGACCTAACTGCCCTGGCAAAGTTTCAGAATCTACAGCACGTGCTAACCTTTGAAGAAATAAGCAATTTTCTTTTATATCGATCTTTAGGATTTTTAATTTCCTGACAAAAACGTTCGCGAATCATTCCTTAGCAATGAAAATTAGGTCAACTAGAGACTACGGCTACAAATATAAAGAAATTGAGGCCAGGGTTCCGCACCTATTCAATTGGATACAAGAGCAGGTCTACTACGTCAGCAAGTCGATTTTACGACAAATATTGCACTTTTTGTAATTTTTGCTTGCCTTGTGTGTTTTCTTATTTGAGTGAGTGATGGATACACAATCTCGGTCCCAAATCCTGACAATGCAAATCTGGTGTTGTGAATTTCAATTGGGCAATGGACAGCGCTGTTTACTTGCTAAATCAGCCATCAGAAATTCGATGATTGTACGATATATTCCTATATATATCTAGTTCAGTGGGTACCTGTAACCTGTCCTGTACTCGAGTAAGAGCAACATGTATGTACGTACTGATCTGCCTTCTTGTCTGG